AGTTTTTAATAAAAATTTCTCAAATAGTTATATTTTGGTGCAAACTTACATGCTTAATTTGAAAATAAAGAAATTTTGATAAAATCTACCGTTTTGTAGTTATCGACAATAAAATTTTGGACTCATTCATGTCGTGGTTACAGCATGGCAGCCATTACTGGCATTGTTTGCATACATTTGCTGCAGAGCAATCATGCGCAGAAGCTTCACTTGTCTTAATGCACACGCAATGCGTGAAATTTAAAATTGTCAAAAGAACCTAATGGAAAAACTAAGGAAACATGATCAGATAAATAAGCAGAAACAAAAGACCTTCAAAGAACAAAACATGACAAGAAACAAAATGCTAATAGACCAGAGGGCATAGAAATTATGGACACTTCACCCACTAAGTATAAATCGGACAAGCAAAAAACTCTTAACCCCCGAGGTCAAAACACTATGAAAGTATAAAAGTGGGTTTTAATACCAGAAATATTTTGTAAAAAAATTATTACCAGCAATTAATTTTTGGAGGAAAAATTATTTCCAGTAATACATTAGTACCAGCAATACATTTAAAAAAAAAAAAAAAGCAATAGATTTTTGGAAAAATATCACTAGCAATACCTTCTTGAATGAAAAAAGGTATTACCAGCAATACATTTAAAAAATAAAAAATTACCAGCAATACATTTAAAAAAATAAAAAATTATCAGCAATACATTTTTGTATTAAAAAAAATATTACCAGCAATGTATTTTTAGAAGTATATCACCAGCAATACATTTTTGAAAAATATTATCTGCAATAATAATTCTTTTTTTTTAAGGAAAAATATTACTGGAAATAGATTTTTAAAGGAAAAATTTTATCATAATTTTAGCAATAAAAATTTTGTTGGCATTGAAGTTTTTGTTACCCATTGAAGTTGATATGCCGTAAAATCTAATCAAACCAAACTTATTGAGTTCACATGATCCAGTAGTAGCTGGACGTCTTCCTGATGTGGCCAGAGTATGAAGGTGTCACCTACATATCTCAGCCATAGGGTTAACTTTAGTGATATGGATTCTAATGCCATTTCCTCAAAGTATTCCATTGCTAGTGGTAATGGTAAGCCCATTGCTAAGTTTATCCTGTTGATATATGCCTGATCCCATTCCAAGTATGTCGTTTGTGTCCAGAAAGTCAGCATCTCCATCAGGTTATCTATTGGTATACTGGTCCATTCTCCTAGGAAGGAATCCAAGGCCAGTATGTCCTTGACTATGGAGAGTGCCTCCTCCATGGGTACCTTGGTGAACAAACTCGCCATGTCCAGGTTCACCATCTGGTTGGATTGGATGGGAGCATCTTTGATTATTTAATAATATTTAGAGGGTTCTATTTCTTGAAGGATTTTTATACTTTGGATTGTGATTTTCAGAGTTAATGTACATATAGATTCTTTTTTGTTTAAGGTTGACAGGATAGGATTTGTTTTGTCAATGGAAGTTTGATTTATATGTGATATACTACATTTTAGTTGTTCTATTAGACTTTTTAATTCATTTATTAGAGTTGTAAGATCTTAGCTTCTTATTACCTTGTTCTCTTGGATGTCATTTTGGCAGTTTGATATTTTAGCGATATTTGCATATGATGTTGGAAGTGAATAGGATTCAAACCATTTTCTAGCATCTTGGAACAAGATGTTTTACATGTATTTTATTCTTATTTCCTTTTTCCAAATGTTACACTCTTTAGAGTCTGCTGAGTGTTTTTTTACAGTTTGGACATAAAGGAGGCCTTTCACAGAGTGACTCTTCATGATCTGACTCAAATTCCTCACATTTGTGACATCTGCGGGGATTAGGAATGTATGGCTCTATCTTGACTATTGAGTAGCTTATCTTTGTTTCTTTAGGTAGAGTAGTTTTGTTGAATGTCAAAATGTACGTGTCTGTGTTTATTGATGTGTCATTTCTTTTTATTTGAATTCTTTTGACGTCTGTTACACCTTGCTTTTTCAGGGTGTCATCATTATAATTTCTTCTGTTGAGCAGAGAGACAGCTCTGGGCATTTTATAACTCCCTTAGATGAATTAAGAAATTAGTAGGGCCTTTACTTTATTGTTGTCTATTTGCTTGATTTTTAGTAATTTTTCTGCATCTTTTTGTGTTTTTACTTGAATTAAAAGTGTATTATTTTCCTTTTTACAGATTTTGGTTCAATCAGGCCCGATATAACCCTTTGCAACACAAAAGGAGACACTTTTGATATTTCACCATCTAGTGATTCTATAATTATGAAAATTGGAAATTGTTTTTTTTCTCATATTTCATTTTCACTTTCTGTTTCAGAAGTCTCATATTCTCTTTTGGTTCATTTATAAGAGATAGCCATATTATTTTGATTTTTGTATTCACCGTCTGTGTTCCCCACCCACCTCAGAGTTCCTTCTTAAGGGACGCTATCAGGAAGGACTAATCCCACTCACCCTGATCTGCCAGAGCTACACAGATGGTATAGTTGTGATGAAAATGGATACAAGCACCCACATTCCCCCACCACATCTACCCAAGTATAAGGATTTGCATCCCTGTCAGAGCCATTATCTATCATCCCAACTAGTCCTTACCACTATGTGACTAGCTAATTGGAATGGATTGGGCTATTCTATCTGCCCATCTATCCCAGGTAGGGACTGAAGTGACGTGTTGTGGACACTCCTGGTCATTTTATACCAGATCAGGAGTCACTCAGTCACCAGGACACTGTCCCCACGCATCACGGGTCACCATCCACAGTAAATGGGTGGTTGCATTGACAGGAATTTTAGTTTTTGGGAATGTGCATTTTATATATTGCAATTTGTATTGCTGGTATTTTTATTATAAAAACCCATCTTTACACTTTCTAAATATTCAGACACCAGTTTGGGGGAGGGGGAAACTATTTACCCATAGCTGGGACCCTAACAGGTGCTACTACCCCAGGTCAGAGTGGGCTTTGGAACAACAGCAGTTAAGAGGTGGTTCCACACTCCTCAAAACCTCCCGATCAGTGGCCTTGCTGCTGGATGTAGTTTATTGTCAAGAGTGGTTACAATGTATTAACCAAAGACCAATGAACAGCAACATTCATTATTTGCACAGGAAGTAGACAAACTGATCTTGTTCATGAACTTTGTGTATCACAAAGTGTGATCACAGTTGACTTCTTTCTAGTTATCGTGCAATAGGAATAGTCTACATGTGGCCACTTTCCAGTGTTATTGACCATAATGACAATCAGTATATGCCCTGTGATATCATGCATGCAACTGGCAACCCAGCTTCATGTTAGAGTTATCAGGAAAATAAGAGTATAACATTAATACTTTCTATTAACTCAGAGATGAGCATTATTCGATGATTAATAAGATCCCAAATCATTCAGCCGGTTAATTAAGCTGGTTAATCATCACTGGCCACTCTTACTTGTGATAGATTATTGAATCCACTATCATCCCCTAGTGTCACCAGCATGGTCTAAACTTCATTTTCATGAATGATGAAGCAACTTCTCATTGTTCACACACTGTTACTGCACATCTCCAAGAGTCTGGTATTCATAAATGGAACAGCCAAACATGCTACCAGATCTCAATCCATTAGAAGACTTGTGCAAACATTTGACTTTTTTTTATACTATTGTTCACTCAATACAAGGACCAAGAGCACAGTAGAAGGTTACTGAATGATTCCAGCTAATGAACATCAAATATAACCTTTTAGTCTTTGCAGAAATTTTAAGGCTTAATATTCAACCTTTAAAAAATCTATGGAAATTCAAACTATTCATTCTCAAAGTTGTCTACACTTAAAAAATCATCTGTAATAAAATTTAGGGAAAATATTTTCTTTAATGACTTAATTTTATAAAATTATCAGTTAATTAGCAGAGATACCTAGATCATTTATCAAATATTTTAAAGATGATTTCATATAAAAATAAATTAATTTTATTTATTTACTGAAAGAAATATGTCTTCAGAATTAAATCTGCAAAATATATTAATTTTGTTTAGTTTTATTTGCTAAAATCTCGATTTAGGATAAAAAAAATATATCTAAATATTTTCTTTTTAGAGAGTTTAAAAATTATTCAGCCAATTGTATATAAACTACTGTTGTTAAATAATTAAAAAAAAAGTGCCGAATATTTAGAAGACTTGTTAGAATATATTTATGTAGATAGTTTAAGCCTCATTGCTCTTGTTGCAGAATCACAACTAAAAGAATTACTATAAAAGATAATAGTAATTCTTTTAGATGCTCATTTCACAGTATGAGATATCATCATCAACATCATTATTATTCCAGGAATAAGGAAATAATATATGAAAGTTTATTCTTTTTCAAACTTAACAGTTAAATGTCTAACAAATAGTGAGTGACACATTACTGAGCATAACATTCAAGATAGTCATTTTATCAATTTTGGCATCTATACTATAGAATGGAAAAGTCAAAACATCTTTGTTGTAAGTTACACTATTTCACTATTAAAAATTGCTTTTTCAGGATATTTTAGTAAAAATATAGTGAACAGATTTGTTTTACAATTCAGTTAAGCAATTATTTAATAAACTATTTTTGATTGGTTAAAATTTTTAATATTGATATACGGTATAAGTGATAAAATTTCCAAAAAATGTAAACTGATTTTTAAAACAGCCTAATCACAAAAAATAATGTTTTGTGTAATAATTGGAACAATGTTTTTAGACTAATGAAGTTTGTAACGCAATAAAAATATATGTTAACATAAATATAGCATTATCACTTAGAATAAATCTTATAGTAAAACATAGACAATATTGTCTTAAATATTATACCTGAATTAACAAAGAACTACAGATATTTCTCTTAGAGTTACTGCAATAATTAGAAGACATCTAGAGAAGACAAAAATATCAATGTAAAAAAAATAAAAATAACAGGATGATGTTAACAGTGGTAATATTTCTTTTTAAAGAAAATAAACAACTTACATAACTGGTGCAATAAATGGTTTAGTATCAAGCCAAAGAAACTTTGTCTTTTTCCAGTTATTGTATCAACTTCTGTAGCTTCAAAATGCCTATAAAAAAGAAATAGAATGTACAAACATATGACAAAGCAAAGCAAAAAAAAAGAAAAAAAAAAAAGAAGCCTAATGTTTTAATTCTGATACTGAAAATACAGTATACATCTAAGTTTACTACAAAAAATGTTTCCTGATAAAGTTATGGGGATAAGTTATGGGGACAAAGAAAGATAAGAATAGGATCACAGTATTTCCAATCATCAATATATATTTGTGAGATGTTTACTTATACAGATCCTTTTCTTATTTGTTTATAGAAATTTTCTTTTAACTCTTAAATTACTTCACTTCAAATTAATATGAATATGATGCTCATTTTTTTTATTGAACAATATCTTTACAATATAATTACTGTTTTGCTCCACTATTTTCTGCAATCATTCAACCAATTTTATAATTCAGTATTTTCAGAAGTTTTTAATCTTTCTCGTCAAAGAACTGTGATAAATGCTTTTTGCAGTCTTCCAGGGAAATGACATTTTTCCTTACAAAAACAATTCTCTTGTAACAAATGGACGAAGTGATAATCTGAAAATGTGAAGGTATCTGCTGAATATTATAGGCAAAAACTTCCCTGCTGAGACAACTTTTGTCTGATTGCATTATCCTGATGGAACTTTCTATTAACTCTGGATGAATTTTGTCAGTTGCTTGTTCAAATCAATTATTTGCTTTTTAGAAAGTGCTCACAGTAGAATATCTTCTAATCCCATTATATATAAAGCATTAATTTCATTGGTTGAAAACCTGCTTTTAGTATATGGTCAGTGGTGGTTCATTTCACTTGACTCACAATCTGTTGCATTCCACATTGTTGTGAAAATATTCACTTTTCATTGCCTATCCAAGTTTATTTTAAAAATAGTTTGATATACTTGTTGTTGATCTTAAGTGGAAGCCACCCATCAAAGTAACTAACATAAAATTAAGCAGATATAACTGATTTTCAGTGATTGATATTTTGAGTATGTTCCCTATCTCTTGTATTGCACAACATTGATTCAAGTCATACTTAGATTTAAGTCTATCAACTGGTCTACTTAAATTTAGAGCAATGTAAAAACATCACAAAATGCTTTTGATACATTTCATCATTCACAGTACCATCTCCAATACCTGCACAATTTCAAAAGCTGACTTCACTCATTGACTTTATCTTGTTTCTCTTGAATCCATATCTTTCTGATGGTAATCTTCATATATACCTGAGATTAATATCATTAATTCTACTATTATATATATTTATATGATGAACAGCACTTGCTGCATAATTTCATAAGTTTCACACTACCAAATAAGTTATTATAAATATTTCTAATAAAAACAGATAACGTATCCTGAAAATTTTACTAACACTGTTGGCTAATAATTTTATTATGAAAACATTGACTTTGTATCTGACAGAATACAATCAAAAATGTACCTTTTGAATGCTAATTGAAACTTGCTTGGTTTTACAAAATGTTAATTGGATTATTTAATGCTAATGTGGCACCTAATGAGGATCAAACTCATTACTCAGTAATAAAAGGCCAATCAGACAAGACTTTCTGTTATCCCATGCTGAGGCACCTAGTTAAAACTTAATATTGCATATACCATCAAAGAACAAAAACTGGACAATTCTTTTTTGCTAACCCAATATATACACTGGCATGCAAAAGTTTTGGGAAAACTACATAAAATGATTATACGCCTTTATATTATTAAAGAGTTAAGATTATTTAGCAGTAGGTTTTATCAGTCTGTGAACCTTGAGGATTGGAAAATAAGTGATTGCATTTTTGTAGGTGCTGTGTAAGAGGTAAATACACTGCTTTAAGCAGAAAATGACCATGCAAAACTATTGGGCCAATGAAAGATCTGAGATGATAAAGTCAATATAATATACAAATTTTGAAGTAGGAATTGTTCCATTTTATTAATGAGTGTCAGGTGTCATAACATGTCATTGTAGTTAACCATTAGATTTTTTTTTTAATAATAAAATCATGGCTAAAATTTCTGCTGAGAAAGATGAAGGTTATGACTTTGAAGGTTATGACTCGTTAGATAAAAATAGAGAATTTTAATTAAATGTTAATGCAGAATTAATGTTAAATTTTAAGAGCTACATTTATTAACAAAATGATAGCCATGCACACAAAATGGGAAAAGAATACAAAATCACAAAAGAAAAATTCTACAAATTTCAGCTAACTAAAGCAACAGTAGTTTTGTATCTAAGAAAACCTTCATCAAATAATGATCATAGAGTTTGTTTCAGGGCTGAAATATAATGACTAATCTGAAGTGTCACAGTAATTACAATATAACCAGGTTTTAGTGGTTTTCCATTAGTGTGAGAACACCACATCTATGCAGATGTAAGTTCTGCTCATCTTTTCTTTTGTCAACAATTGAAGTTGAAGTCTGGGATAAAACCCTAGCATTGCTAGTTATCCTGTCATGTCTCACATTTTTCTTGTAGATTTTCATATTTTCCAGTTTATGTTCCTCAAAAGTGGATTTAAATTAAGGCTTTACCCCCACTTAGCCCTCACACCCTGTTGGGATATACCACATGCATGCTCTTCTCAATATGTAAATATTCATCCAAAATTTGATTTATTATTAAATTTTAAGAAAATATGTAATAACACATAACAAAAGATGCACTTTTATGAGTTCTTTCTTGTAATGCAAGATTATCAATTTTGTCTATATTTCATATCAATGTCATGTCAGTAATTCCAAGATTGGAATTGAAATAAGAAAAAGTTTTTACAACATATTTTCATGAAACTCTAAAATGATGCAAAGTAACAAGTGAATACAGAAGGAATTAGCAATTGAATAATTAAAGAAAATGGTTTTGCAACACTGAGACAAAATGCTTCGTTATACTCACCAGCCTAAATGAATACCACAACTTGGACATACACAGATTGACCAACTAAAACCAGGAAACCAACTTTCCTCTCTGTGAGCCTAAAATGAAAAACAGTCAATCATCAATATGTATTTAAAAAAAAAAAAGTGGTGGATAGAGAAAAATTCAAAAGGTTGAAATGGTTCTTTTAAATCATTTATATTGATTGCAGTTAGCCAGCGTAATTTTAAGATACATTTTATTTACCCAAAAGAAAAATGACTATCAAGATTATTAGAAATGAGGTGTAAATATAATTTTTGTAATCTAAACTAGTAAAGATAGAAATTGATATAGTAGGTGATACATGGATTTTATAATACAAGAAACCGATAGTTTTATGTAAAAATAATGCAGAATTGTGGCTCAGAATAATTCTGTTGTCATAGGCAGCAATGGATGATACTTATTACATGTTATTATAATCATTCAACCTTTGTTAAGTGAGTTAAAAGCTATCCTGTTAAGTTTGACTCAAAAAATAACTTGCCAGGCCTAAATTTACAATTAGTCATCAAGTCTGGTACATGCAGTTTTTAAGAATACTCACATTTATTTTATGTATTTTCTAAGCATACTGATAACCATTTACATTTAGATAAACTCTTCACAAATATAGAATGATTTACAAGAGAAAATCTTACATTCTGAAATAATTCACTTCTGCTAAATAGAAAGTCATTTCTTATTTATAGAATTTATTTTGTTTGCAAATACTAATTACTAAGCTTTATTAGGATTAAAATAGTGTCACTGAAATGTCATTATGTTTGACAGAAGAACATAGGGAAGTCAAAGGTTTTACCCTGCTCATTCCTCTTATCAAGAAAATTCAAGAAATTGACTTTAATTATTAGCTATTAAACCTGGGGTTTATCTCCCTTGGAATGACTTTTTTTTTTTTTTTTTTTTTTTTTTAAGTATGACTTAAAACTATTTGAAAACTGGTGACACAACTAGGCAGGAAATTACCATTCTCCGTGTTAGAGCATTTTAACAGTACTACATTAATATGTGTCACTTTTGCTGTGTTATAGTAATGAATGCATAAATCAGATCAGATAGATGATCCTTTGAATTTCATCTTCAGAATCCAGTTATTTTTGCCTTTTAATCTCAGCTGATATTTAAGAGAATAAACTCAATTACAGCAAAAAAGATTTATTATATCTTATTTCATGGAATATGATATTTATTTTCTTCAAAAGTTGAAATTACTAAATACTAACCATTTTTAATTTTTGTTTCCAATATTGAAATAAATAGAAATTGTTTAACAATAAAAATATTAGGAATACTTTATGGATTACAGTAAAACTTACGTCATTATTTATAGTAAAAAATAATTTAAATCAAAGCTAGTTGATCTCAAGCATATTTAAACAGGTTTGGATGTGCATTGTTGTATAATGGTAATGACTTGGAAGGAGAAAGCTGAGAGCCAAGTTTGAATTCCAGTCAGGTTCATTACAGTCAAATGCACAAAAATTAAATTCAAACCCCATTATGGGTTGAATAAAATATAAAATATTGAATTTGTTTAGTCATGGAATTATTTCTTTCAGATATTGCCCAATACAAATAATTATTACTCAAAAAACAGTTTCAAATCTATATATATTGATGTTTTGATATTTTTTACTTCTAAGGAATTCTAATAATTGAATATTCAAATAAAAATTAATATGGTAAAATATATATATATATATAATCTTTGATAAAAGGAAGATAAAAACATTGTCTTTAAGTTAATAACATTCAAAGCAAAAAATTTTATCTAAAAAAAAAAATAATATATATATATATATATATATTGAGAATCTTAAACTTTTTCATCAATCTCATCAACTATCAACCTAAATAAAAAATCAGGATGGAGCAATTTACAATTACAAATGACTTGCTGAACCTGTAAATCAAACTTATAAACAAAACAATTCAATTAAAAAGAGCAAAAATAATTTCAAAAATTATTTAACAAATTGAGCAACAAAAAGAAACAACAAATGTTGTATACCAAGACCCATTCAACAAAAATATTGCAACAGACAAAAAAGGTCTCGAAAAAATTCTGAAACAGGACATACCTATATCTGGAGAAAATTAAAAAAAAACCAACACTACTGTTTTTATATGCCGCAGGAATAACAGCAAATTCATTATCCGAAAAATTTATTTATGATCCTGATTCAAAAGCATTACATTTCCAAAAGCATACTTTAAACGTTTTGAAACTATATTTACCAAGAGATGTCAACATTGGTCGGATGAGGAACGGGTTAAACATTATTATCCAGAAACTAGGGACAAACGATGAGCATGAAGTAAATCAAACTTGATATTGCCCAACAGAAAGCCAAACGAAGAAGTTTCGTTTGAAGAAACTATAAGTATTCTGTCAAAAAATATTTGACGAAAGGAATAGTCTGTTCCACACACGATACAGATGCCTAAACATCGTTAAAGCAGATAACGAGGATTTTGTGACATACGGACGGGAACAGTGAACTCTCTGGTTGAACAATTCAAGTTAGAAGAAATAACCAAAGATGTATTCAAGTGCCTAATTTTTCTTCAAGGACTAACTGATCCTAAATATAAAAAAATTAGGTCGAAATATTAAAATGGTCGAGCAAGACTCGAAAATAACATTACAAAGGGTGACTGAAGAATGCCAACGTCTCATAAACGTAAAAAGGGATAATATACAAATTGAGGAAAAAATGTGTTGCTAATGTTCGACACATAAAAACTCAAAAAAAAAGCTCAAAAGATAGAAAAAACGTGTGGAAAGAATAAAAAAAGATAGGTGTTGGTACAAAAAAAATTCTGCCAATCGTATGGAAATAAAAAAATCATACCAAAGACACGTGTTGGTACAAAAATAAATTCTGCCAATCGTGCGAAAAAAAATCGTGCGGAAAAAAAATCATACCAAAGACGTGTGTTGGTACAAAAATAAATTCTGTCAATCGTGCAGAAATAAAGGGCATAATTATTCGGTTTGTCACAAGAAAAGGAAATTACAAGATGTAAGCCTGGTATTATCAGAAAAAGAAATTCAGAAAGGTAAAAATAGAAAGTACGTAGATGTACGTATAAATAATCATACAATTACTTTCCTATTGGATTCTGGTTCAGACATAAGCATCATTGATGAACAAACATGGAAAAATATTGGAAGACCTAAATTATCTGAAACCAAAAAAAACGCTAGAGGGGTTTCAGAAAAGAAATTAAACTTTAAGGGAGATTAAAGTCGATATTTGGCAAGAAGACTGCAAAAATGAAAGTGTATGTAATCCAAAGGATTAATTCATGTCTTTTTGGAATAGACTGGATAGTACTCTTTGATTTGTTTGAACACCCGATTAACTCATTTTGCAACGTAATAAACAGTGCAGAAAAACAAAAATGTATTAAAAATGAAAAATTCATGAATGAATTAAAAGAAGAATATCCCAGAGTTTTTTCTGAGGGATTGGGTTTATGTACTAAGACGGAAGTCAAATTTGAACTCAAGGAAAATGTGAAACCAATTTTTAAACCAAAGAGAAACGTTCCTTTTTCCTCCTTAGATACAATTAATAAGGAATTGGAAAGACTTGAAAAAATGGGAGTGATATCTAAGGTTGACCATTCGGATTGGGCCTTGCCCACAGTTTATGTTAAGAAGAAAAACGGAAAAATAAGAGTGTGCGCAGATTTTTCAACAGGGTTAAATGATTGCCTTAAAAATCACAGTTATCCACTACCTTCACCAGAAGATATTTTTTCAAAATTGAATGGTGGGAAGATTTTTTAAAAAATCAACCTGTCTGACGTATACTTGCAGATTAAAATGAGTGACGAATGCTCAAAGTATTTGTGTATAAATACACATAAAGGTATTTATAAGCTAAATAGGCTTCCTTTCGGCTTAAAGGTCACCCCAGCTTTGTTTCAACAGGTGATGGACACTATGCTGGCAGGCCTTGAGTTTGGTACCACCTATTTAGATGACATTCTAGTCAAAAGTAAAAATGTTCAAGAACATAAAACGCACATCAGAGCGATATTCAAAAGACTAGAAGATTTTGGTTTTAAATTAAGCCACGAGAAGTGTAAATTCTTCATGGAAAGAATTACATACCTCGGACAGGTAATAGACAGTGAAGGCAGGAAACCGACCCACAGAGAGCCGATGCAATTAAGAACATGCCTGCATCCGACACAGTTCTTGAAACTACAATCGTTTCTGGGGTTGGCACAATATTATGCAATCTACATACCTAAAATGTATGATTTAAGAGCCCCCCTTAACGAATTGCTGAAAAAAGACAAGAAATGGTTTTGGTCAAAAGATTGCGAGACGGCTTTTCAGAAAATAAAAAAAAATGCCTACTCTCAGATCTCGCCTTAGCACATTATGATCCTGAGGAAGAGATCATTCTGGCAACTGACGCAAGTTTGTACGGAGGGGTGCTGCACTGCTACACAAATATGAAGATGGCACTACTAAACCGATCGCGCAAGACGCGTCGAGGACTCTTCTTCCGGCTGAAAAAATTATAGCCAGATTGAGAAAGAGGCTTTGTCGATTGTGTTCGGGGTTAAAAAATACCATCGCTTTTACATGGTAGATCATTTGTACTTCAAACGGACCATAAAGCGTTACTTACAATATTTAGAGGTAAAAAAGGCATTCCTACGCATACAGCTAATCGCTTACGGCGATGGGGTGTAACCCTGCTTAATTACCATTTTAGGATGGAATACGTCAAATCTAAAGAACATGGGCATGCGGATGGATTGTCAAGGCTAATTCCAAAAAATGAAGAAATGTTAGAAGAGGCGGTTATAGCAGCATTAACTGAGGAAAAAGAAATATCAGGTCTCTTGTTGAATACAATCAGGGAATTGCCGGTAACTTTGGACCAAATAAAAAAAGAAGTGGAAAAAGATCACTATATTGTGAAATTAAGGAACTAGACGAGAGGGAACAAAAGACAGAAAAAGGGAACTCAGATTTCACCTTTTTCAATTTGCAATAAACACATTGATGTAAGCAGATAGAATT